GGACATTTTGTAAGCCCAGAATACAGAGGGGAGAATTCCATTAAAATGGAGCTTACATGAATAGGGTAGAAGGATAAGGCTCAGTAAGGGAGACACTGCCGACTATTGTTAACACGGTAATGAACATCTGAGTCCCTAGAAAGAGGCGATAGTTCCTTCGCCACCAGGAAGCCGAATACCTACAGCAATTTGCTCACAGACACTGATTCCTTTACCTTCGGAGCGGAAGAGTGGTCACAGGTTAAAATACACTTTGGAATGTCAGGTTATCTCGTCGTAAAATCAAATAAATTACGACATCAAGGAAGGCTCGTAAAAAAAAGAGCTCGCTCAACACCTGCTCCGATGCAGTCATGACCCCGAAATAGTCAGTGAATTTGAAATATCTCGCCTGGCAAATATTTAGAACCGCGTTTGTGTTTCGGACTGTTCGCGTTCCCTCAGCACTCGGTCTGCTTGCCTCGCATTTAAGTAAAACGCCATCCTTGTTCACTCAACCACGTCATAAAACACATACGATATTAGCGCTCACTGGTTCCGAACTTGGGCAGTTGGTATACGTGTTTCTCCACTACTTTAGTAGGCAAAAAGGTTTCCAGACAATCGATGTTATTGTTTAAAGCAGACAGGACATTTAAAGGATTTAATTTGCAGATCGAGCGTGGTACTTGTTGGTACACCTGATCATCTGGTTCGATTCTCGTACGGAAAATCGATTATCCAGAATGGTTCTTGTTATCCTCAGATACCCAAGTAGGCCTAGTTCGAAAAGAAACCCTATTATAATCGTGAATTTATTCATAATACGCCAGGCTATAACATGTATGAAGAATCAGACAAGTCAAACCAAGAAACTAAGTATCTTAATTAAAATACATACACACTTTGTAATAATTAATTAACTGTGACGAATGCTGTTTGTAAGTCAAGTCCTTCACTACTAGGAGACCGAAAAACATTGTGCTAGTTCTAAGTGGATGCAATAATTTATAAAACTAAAACTATTATAAAATTACAACAATAAAAAAATAAATAAATGAATAACGAATCTATGAACATCGAAATAGCGGAATTTAAAAACACCTTTGTACTAAAGATTAATGTTCTCCACTCAGGAATAGGATGATTACGCATGCGTACATCACCTACTTGTCAGGCTGTACTTAATTCTTACGAAAAGTAGACCTATTGACATTTCTGCCCTGTAAAATTGTCACCCGTCTTTTCCACCCAAACCTACTGGATTATTTCGACATTTAAATACTTAGTCATATTTTACTCTGAAAAATTTAAAAAGAGTTTACTTCGTAAACGTCACTGTCAGAAAAAAAATACATTTTAGTGAACGTAAATTAATTTCAGCCTTCAATTAAATGCTAACTTCCGTCTACAAACAACTTCCTGTATCAAAACTTTGATGTTTTGGCCAATCCATCGCTGTAATTCCCTCAACTATAACCTGTTATTTTCAGAGATCACCCTGTAAGATACCACTTCATTCTCAGTCCGCGAAATATCTCATTACATTTCCTTCCCTTATCTAGCTCCCTAAGATGCTCGGTACGCAACCAATGGCGTCGCTGCATTATTATGCCCGCGAGGGTAGAACACTGGGGGATTCGGAAGGTTGAATAAGGGCGAAGTTGTAGGGGTGGATCTTAATTGAAATGGAAACTGCGGTGTTCTTAATTAGTTCAATATAGTGAAAAGCCTAAATATAAATGCATCTGTAAGGGCGAGAAGGGTGGATAATGGGGGACGGGGTTGCGAAAATAGGAGTGTCCACCAATGGCGGACAATGGTAATTGTAACTATACTCATTCACAATTAACTGGAATCCAACGTTTAAACTCAGGGTTGCATTTAAGTCGAGGCCAATAACATCTCGACTCTTGAGGTAGAAACTCAAAACTCCGCATTTCAAAAGCATTTTATCATATCTACATCAATAAAGACATCTTGTTAACAAAATCCATTTAAAATAAAAACCCTACAAGGGGTACACACGTATTTGTACTTGGGAGTGTTTAAGAACAGGGTGTTGAGGACATCTGGCGGCAAGAATAAGGAAATGACAGGCAATGAACACAAATGTACGCCTCGTCCAATGAATCAGCAACATCTTGACAAACCGTGACTACTTGACTTTCGCATGAGTACCCTGGTCTAAACCCATGTTGACCCTCATATAACCACTCACTCCTTTCCCAGACTTGCCTTAGATACCCTGCTATAACGTGCTCCATTTGCTTGCAAACCACCGAGGTTAAACTGACCGGTCTATAGTTCCCAACTACCGATCGATCTCCCCCTTTATAAATAGGGACCACTATAGCTTTCTTCCAGTCCCCTGGGATAGAATTGTTGTTCATCGTTACCTCCAGCAGACGCGCAAGGTATGGAATCATTGCTTCCCCACCTAACTTTAAAATTTCCGGACAATGGTAATTGTAACTATACTCATTCACAATTAACTGGAATCCAACGTTTAAACTCAGGGTTGCATTTAAGTCGAGGCCAATAACATCTCGACTCTTGAGGTAGAAACTCAAAACTCCGCATTTCAAAAGCATTTTATCATATCTACATCAATAAAGACATCTTGTTAACAAAATCCATTTAAAATAAAAACCCTACAAGGGGTACACACGTATTTGTACTTGGGAGTGTTTAAGAACAGGGTGTTGAGGACATCTGGCGGCAAGAATAAGGAACTGACAGGCAATGGACACAAATGAACAACGACGAGTTCATAACTTGTACTTTTTTTCAAAACTGTTTTATATATTATATATCACATAATCGAGAAATATAATGACGGTGACGTCAGGAAGGAATGACGAGACAATAAATATCCACAAATTCTTGATCGGTAAACATGAAGACCGAATAAACACCCAGGAGTTGATGGGATAATATTAAAATGAATTCTAATTAGATATGTGGATATGATATTAGATAATTAAATTTTATAAAGTAACCTTGGATTAAAGTACTGGCAAGGAAGAAGTTACAATTAAAGTAACGTTGTCTCATTAAATATGGACGCCTAAGGGCAAGGACACGAATGGGGATATTTCAGAACGAAATTGTGATAAAGAAATTTGTATGTAAGAGAAATGTAGCAAGCAATGATACGAAATGATTACTTAATCTGAAGAGATCAGTGATTAGGAGATGGGCAACGTATTAGTAAACATGAGATGAGAAAATAATAAGAAATTTAAGTCGGAAGGCCTCAAGAAAAGAGACGACTTCGAAGACGTAAACAAAGATACTGAAAGGATAATATTAAGATAAATCTTGGCGGAATGTGGGCAAAGGGGAATTTCTTGTGGTGGTGTTGGTAGCAGTAGTTGTAGAATTTCATTATCTATTAAACAAGTAGCATGCGAGCTTTGTAGAACAAATTTTAAGGTGACATTTGATAGAAACGGCATGTTTGGATTTCATAATGGAACCAACTTCCATTGAATTCTGTCAAGGTCGTGTTAAAGACTTCATGGAATGACTCATAACGTAGTTGCAAGGTAACTTATCGTATGTCATTGATCCCAGGGTACAGAAACAAGCAGGACTTGTCATGTACTAAATATACGACAGTCCAAGCTATATAACTTATCCCGTGGCTCTATTGTCCTTGAAAGACCTTGGCCTCCTCAGGTTTCGTGAGCTATTAAGACATTTGCTACGACTCCTTGGACGAGCTATCAGCCCCTAGCAACGCCTCTACACGCATAAGACTTAAAATCTCGTTGATAATGTCTAAACAGCAAGCTTGGAGGATGCACTAAACAATGCCTCTAATTTGATAAAAGATATTTTAACATGTACACAGTAACTTGTAACAAACGTGCTTGTGTCATGTGTGTAGATAAGGTCACATGTTCCAAGCTACATAAGAGATACGAGTGAATGAGATAAGGATTCACGCATTCCTTACATCATCAGCAGTAAAGTTAACTGTCGGCTCCATGTCCCAGGGATCGTTCGCCTGGTACACACTAAGGAAGAGAATTTAAAGACCCAGACTTGAACCTCGGTCTTCTACATCGCAGCCCTCACTTTGTGAATTTTTTTATTGTCGAGACTCAAATTTATACTGGATTTAGTACAACGAATAAGTTACGAGAAGCATATGAAAGATGTTTAAGTGATTGATCAGGCGTTGTATAAATGCGTACATATTAATGCGAGATCCAATGGTAAAATTCAGTGACAAAATTGTCCATTCTGTCGTTCAATCCACGAATATATTCTGAAGACATGCATCGGGGTGAGTCAGTTGCCTTCGATACGGTCCCACGAAGTCTTCAGCAACAAAACTTTGGACTCCCCTGTTCCTACGTTAAGAGTGAACTTCGCTAACAGCTCTGCCCCTGCACAGCGCTAAAACACTTCCCGCCGAGCACCGATACTTGACATATGTTATTAATTAAATAAAGTACCATACAGCGAGTGGAAAATGTTCATGTCCTATCCCGGGACCCAGCTAATAAATCCTTAAAACTTTGGCAATGATCAACTGGTAGAATAAAAATACAGGGTGTTCGAGAAAATGTGCAAACATTTTAAACATTTTTATTTAGAAAATGAACAGAGTGTGATTCAGTATAGAGACCTGTGGCGGGCTTTTGTTAAAGGGGTGATGAACATACAGGTGATGTTAGTTAAAGACGGTCATCTTCCTAGTCGAAACCCTGACGTCAAATCTGACGTAAAAAGAACGCGTTCGAAGAAATCACTTCGACCGACACTTACTTTTCTTCATCTCCTTCGGACTCGCCTCCTCCAGGACGACTGCTGGCATCGCCTTCACTGTCTGGTACTCGGCGCCTTGATGGCGGACGCGTGACAATTCGCATGGGCGTCGGAACTCCACTGCCTTCAGCGACCTGCAATTGCGAGAGCAAAACGTTATTATCCTCCGGTCTGGAGCGGGGTGAGGAAGGTGGTCGAATTGTGTGTGGCAGCGCTGATAACGCGAGGTTCGAGGCCGGGTCGTTGAACAAGGAACATATCCGGCCTTGAAAACGAGAAAAACACACGATGAATTAGCTACGTGCCTCCGCAGGATTGCGTCCACCTGTTATCACGGAAACTGCTTTCTGCTACCGACTGTCAACATGAAACAAGCAACTGATTCCACTGGTGTTTAAAATTAGAGTTCTTCTTACGTAATATCAAAACCTATTGCATTTCCTCGGCGCTAAACGGAACTTAACATAAAAATGAGTAGAGGTGTTCTAAAGCATCACCTACTTACACACATTCCTACGTCTGTCTGTCATTTAATTACTTTTCGTTCGTTTAATGATGATTAACGAATAAGTAACTACACTGTATGTCAAAGTAGTAGTGGCCTGCATTTATTATTTACGTTTCGTATGATTCTCACTGTAAACATCGATTATTTCCTTAAACAGCGTTAACCAGTTGATCTTTCTAATGGTGAAGTGCGGTGTTTTCTTCGCGGTACGGACTGAATTCTTAAATACGTAATATTTAGACGAGCTTTGACTTCAAAAGGTTAACCAGTTGTTCTTTGTAATGGTGAATTGTGGTGTTTTCTTCGCGGTACGGACTGATTTATTAAATAATATTTAGACGAGACTCGGCTTCAAAGGGTTAAGACTATACTTAAAGAGGAATTAGACGTTTCTGTATCGCTGGAGCCTTGGTCGAGATAATGGCGAACTTAAAATTGGAATAAAAATGGATGTAACAGTGTATTTTCGCAACTTCACATTTGTATACGAGCATTTTCCGAGAACTGATTATTTGGATGTGATAAAAAAACATCAGTTTGCGTATGTCCGGCGATGTCAGTGTCTGCCACAAGCCCTCTGCTGCTAGTTAAGCTGACGCTGTCAGTCTACCATGGAAGGTCCACGTTTCCTTGTCACCGAGAGATACGTTCCAGATGATCGTGGCAGATAGGAAACTGGTCACATCTGACCCCTGACCTACCCACTGTCTCCCACAGAGAGACTCTCCAACAAATTCAACTTGATTCAACCCTTTAAAACCGAGTGGAAAGTATGTGTACCACCTGCCTTAACGCTCAAACACTTCTGTATATGGAAGACAACTGTTTCTGTGTTATTATGCCATTTAGTTCGGTGGAAGTAGAAACACGTTTCGGAGGTGTTTGCTGACTCCATCTTCAGGGCGATCTCCTTATTTTAGTGTCAGAGGTAATGGTTGGAATTTAAAAATGAACGTTCCGATACTGGGCTGGACAGTAGAATAATCTGATTACCACCAGATAACAGGACCGGTTCAATAAAAATTCATTTTCGATTACCAAATACACTTTTACAGAACATTATTGGGCAGAGTTGATCTCTGAATGTCTTTGGCGTGGTCTTGTTCTGTTAATTTT